GCCATCCAGCCTCGCGTCTTCTTTGCTGATCCATCTCTGGGCCGTCACTTTGACCCGGAGGACTCGAACTGCGACCGCGAGGCGACAGCCAAGCAAGAAATGGACACTGGCTCGAACCAGGAGTCGGTGTCGATGTTGACTACGGTTGCCAGACGCGAAGTGACCGGCGATGATGCCTCTCCTAGTCTGAGGCTCGCAAGCGTGTCGCCAATGCCTCGTAGACGGTCGATGAAGACATCTTCCGCTGGTACTGAAGAGGCAAGATTGCCCGTAGAAGAAGGAGCTCATTCGGTGTTCACTATACCAAAGGTATCCGAAAGGATCTCTAAAGCTGCCCAACCCTTTGGCCGTCGCGATGGAGAGGTAAGCTGACAATGTCTTTAGCTTGCTCGTATATTGTATTGGTTTCGCCCCTGCCTACAACATCCCAGTAGAGCTCAATACTGCAATTGTCATGATTTAACGACAGCATTAAGCTATTGCCTATCCTTGCGAAGTAGACCAAAAAGAATATTGCCGATATTTTTGAAGTCTACTCACTAAGTAAAGAGTAGTGATCACTTTTGTAATGTTTTATCTATCGGAACTGCCTCTATGAATGTGATGTGGATGATGCCTAGTCTGCCTTGAAATACACTTTTGCCCTACGACCGATTAGAAGTAGTGACATTTCGCCGAATCGTCCTTATTTGACTCAATTTTGAGTACAATATCAAAACGGCAGTTCCTTCCGGAGGGCTAATCGTACGATTGTGGAAAAGTTTAACACTCATTTCTTGATCACTTTATGCAACCTCGTTTGACTGTAAACCTTATTCAAAAACGAAGTTATTCCCTTTTTAGTTGTGTTAGACAATGCCTATTCTTACGAAATAGACTTAAAAGGCTTATTATGACAGGTTTGAAGCCTACTCACTAAGTACTTAGTAGTGCCGCCTATTTCAATAGAAAATACAAATTCATTTTAGTGTCTCCGCTCTTAAGACTCAATGGAAATGTGTTGGGTTGCAAGAGCAGGTGATTCTTAAGATTATGTCACCAGAAGATAACGGCTGATTCATGTTGTATTATGGTTGTTTATAATTAATACGAAGTTCAGGCTGACGCAGTCCACGAGACATCCTCCCCCGGTTCGGGTGGAGACGGACTGATGAACATCCCCAGAGCTGGAACACATTCTTGTAAAAGTCGTACGTTAACACTAGATTAAGAGGACTTTCCTGCTATATCTTGTCTCTTATATCTGTCTCATAAT